AGAAATTTATATCTAATAAAAAAATTGAATTCACAATTAAATCTTCTCATGAGAAAACTTACAAGTCCAGATAGCTCCCCTAGAGAAGCCTATCACTTTATACGCAACTAATGAGTCACTGAGCACTACACTAAAAACTGATGATGTACTATATGTTGGCTCATTGAATTTAAATTAAAATAATTACCCCAAAGATACAGATGTAGTGAAAAGAAGGGGCACATGCACCCCAGTATTCATAGCAGCAATGTCCACAGTAGCAAAACTGTGGAGGGAGATGAGATGTCCTTGAACAAGTGAACGGATAAAGAAGATGTGGTTCATATATACAATAGAATATTACTCAGCCATCAGAAAGGATGAATACCTACCATTTGCATCAATGCTAAGCATCGGCCTACAACTTATTGGTCCCTGGAAGAAATGCTTTTTTCTTTCTTTCAGGGGAGATGAGGAAAGTTAGAGAGTGGGAACCAGACGGCAAAAGGAGATTGGGGATTTTCGGGGATTTTGAAGCTTAAAATGAATTGTGTGAAGGAAAGGGGTTTTGTTATGTTATGCTTTCCTTTTGACACACTGTCTCTATTTTTATAAAGGTGGTATGTGGAAACCTTCTAGAAGGGGTTATTTAGGACTCAAAGAAATAGGTGATGGCCCAAAACACATCTATACAAATTTGTGCCATATCTCATTGCCATGGGTTTCTCGGTTCTGAGAAAGGACTCATACTAGCTCAGGGATCTGAGGAAATATCTCACATTCACCAAAGTCAAGAGTGAAGAATCCTTAAGTCATCATCATAATAAATCACCCAAATCACAAACCACAAACATTTTTTTTCTAAAAAGAAGGAAATGGAGCATCTACACCAGGAAACACAACAAGAAAGAAAACAGAAACTCCCTGAAAGAAACCAAGCGTGAACTGCCATGTGCAATGAAATAAATCTTGCCAGATGACCCCACATACTCATACAGCTTCACAATTCGAGTTTTCATAGTAAAACACAAAATGGAACTGACCCTGAAATGTGGCCAACAACTTCAGCCTTTCCTCCCCACCACCTGCAGGAAGATCCTGAAACAGATGCTGTGAAATTCAGCCTGATCTTCACCCCATATGCTGGTTCTCAAGAGGGAGCAACAGGGAGATTTTCCTCTTCTCATGAACACATCCTCAGGTGGGAAACTTTGCCCCATGTCTTCCCTCCAGCAAGGCTACTAAATTTAGTTCTGCTGGGAAATTATCATGTGGTTTCATTCATATGTGGAACATAAGGAATAGCAAGGAGGACCACAGAGGAAGGGAGGGAAAATTGAAGGGGAAGAAATCAGAGAGGGAGACAAATCATGAGAGAATCTGGGATACGGGAACCAAACTGAGGGTTAGAGAAGGCAGAGGGATGTGGGGTGGGGTAACTGGGTGATGGGCATTAAGGAGGGCACATGTGGTGATGAGCACTGGGTGTTACATGCAACTAATGAATCGTTGAACACTCCATCAAAAACTAATGATGTACTGTATATTGGCTAACAGAACATAATAAAAAAAAGTTGAAAAAAAAGAGAAGCATATTAAATAGGTAAGGAGGAAATAATACCAACCTTGGACAGAGTCCCTTGAAAAATAGAGGGGGGAGCTTTTCCCAGTTTATTGTTTGAGGCCACCATTTTCCTGTCACCAAGATTAGAAGAAGACATGAGAAAATAAAACTAACTATGGATTGATATACTGTATAAATGAAGACGGGAGAAAAACTCTTAACAAAATAGTGGCAAGTCAAATCCAGCAATATATAAAAATGATAATACATAATGACCAAGTATTTTTTTTTTAAAGATTTTATTTATTTATTTGAGACAAAGAGAATGAGAGAGACAGAGAGCACATGACGGGGGGAGGGTTAGAGGGAGAAGCAGGCTCCCCGCCAAGCAGGGAGCCCGATGCGGGACTCGATCCCGGGACTCCAGGATCATGACCTGAGCCGAAGGCAGTTGCTTAACCGACTGAGCCACCCAGGCGCCCCCATAATGACCAAGTATTAAAGGTTGGTTTAAAAATTTATATAATTCATCATATTAACCAAATAAAGGAAAAGAACTATCTGGTCACCTGAGGTTATACAGTAAAATTATCTGAAAAAATTCAGCACTTGTCCATTACATACCTAAATGAAGGATAGGGGAGATTCTCCTCAATGTGATAAAACATCTAAGAAAAACCTGCAGCTAATATCAAACTTAAATGTTAAAAGACTGGACACCTTCCTAAGAGCAAAGAAAGCAAGGGTGCTCTCTGCTCATCACTTCTAGTCCACACTGTGCTGAAGTTTGTAGGTTGTGCAGTTAAGAAAAGAAAAAGAAGTAAACGACATATACATTGTAAAGGAAGAAGAAAAGCTGTCTTTATTTGCAGATCACATACATATAAAAATCTAAAATAATTTATGAAAGAACTACTCAAACTATGTGAATTTAGCCAAGCTAGAGGACACAGCGTCAATAAACTAGTCATTTGTACTTTTATAGACGAGTAACAAAATGTAAAAACAAATTCAGTACTATCTACAGTAACATACAAAAGCATGAAATGTTTCATAATAGATTAAAAAAATTATATGTGCAAGATCTGTCAACTGAAAACTACAAACTGAAAAACCAAAGATCTGCATGAATGGAGGCATCAATGATGTTCCTGGGCCAGAAGACGCAGTATTGTGAAGATGTCATTTCAACCCAGATTGAATATATTGATTCAGTATGGTCGTAATCAGAATTCTAGGAGGATATTTTTGTAGAAATTAGCAAGCTGAGATTCTAAGATTTAAATGGAAATGCAAAGGACTTAAAATAGCCGAAACAATTTGGAAAAGAAGAGTGGAAGCATATGGTAAGCAGAATTCTAAGGTGGCCCCACAATTGCATCCCATGTGGTGCAGGCCTGTTTAATCCCCTCCCCTTGAGTGTGGGAGGGGACCTGTGAATGTGATGGGACATCACCCCTGGTTGGGTTACATTATATGGCGTAGGTGAAGGGGTTCCCACCTATGGCTCCATCCAGGACTAAAGTAGCTTCGTGCTTGTGTGTGGAGTCCCAGACTAAATGTAAAACTGGTCCTCACCTTCAGAAACAGATACATCTTAACCACCTCACAGGTCAAGGGGTGTACACATTGATTGTGCGGTCAACCCTCTAGGTCAGACCCAGGAAGGAGGTCCACACAGGCCGTGAGGCATACTTGTGTCTTTTTGAAGAGGAAATTCCAGGATTATTGTTGCCCAGGATATGGTATAGAAAAGTAGGTGGAGACTCTGGGTAGACCAGCCATTTGGCTGAGTGACTGCCTCACTCCATGTCAGGGGCAGAGGCTCGAGGTGGCTGGAGGACCTTCCAAAGTCGACATCTCAGACTTTAATGTGGATATGAGTGACCCCAGGATCTTATTAAAAATGCAGAATCAGAACATATCAGGACAGGACCTGGCATTCCACACATCTAACAAGCTCTCAGGTGACATGGGAGCTGCTGATCCTTGGGACTGCATTTTGAGTTGTGATGCTGTAAAGTTTGGCACCCGGGTCTGAGGGCAGGTAATATTGATACTCAGTACATTTGAAGTCTGTAGTGGAATGAATAAACCAAAGTTGTGAGTAATTTCAAATTACTCATTGCACTAATGATAGTTAACATTAAGCTAACAATGTTTTTTTTTTCCTTCTTGTGCATTTATCAACTGAGTGAAAATAGTTGACCCAAAAGCAGGATAAATAACTGGAGACCCCAATCCAGGATTGAAACTATGTGTGTAATCTATGGTTGCCTCTTGTAATCATCTTTCAATATGCTTTATGAAATGAGAAATGTTCATAACATCTTAGGTTTTAAGGGTGAAGCATACTACACTTTTCATACTACAATTACCCATATCATAACTGACATACTTGGAAAAGAACTTTGGAACCCTTCTGATTACTAGCTTGTGCTGGGAGTTTTATGAAAAGAGGCATTAAAATATTTACTACTTTTATTAATAAAATGCGGGGGTATGGATGACTTACAAGATAAAATTGTTTCTGCTTAATATTCATCTGCATTTTATCGCTCTGTAGCATTTATTATAAGACGTAACTCTGCAGAGACTTTGATCTCTCTCTCTCTGGGCTAGTTGCCTTCTCCATGCCACATTTATTGACTATGTACACAAGCATTTGCGTTTTCTTTATAATTCTATCCTGAAGGTTAAGACCCTGGACCATCCGTTTCTTTATTTTATCTGAACTTCTGTCACCATTAGTTTGAAGAAAAGAGAAAAAATTGAGTACTGTACTCTCTTTGGTTGGTTATGTTGCTGATGGGTCAAAACAAACCTTGGGAACCCAGATGAACATGTAAGTTATTCCAGGAGAATTAAGATTCTTCCTTTGTGTTTCATACACTCTGCTTTCAATGCAGGCAAAGCCCCTGCTTAGGCTATATAAATTAATACATTTGCAGGAAATGTGACTTCGGGACATTTTACATAGCAGTGATTTTAATGCTGTTAGTGGTGAAATGGAAACTTGAGAATGTGAAGATTAATTTAAACCACATGATGGGTTCAAGGAAAATACACTACAGTTTCTTGAATGTGTGCTGACTCTGTAGAGTGGGGAATGGGATCCAAAAAACCACCAGTGAACTTTTAAACCCTCTTGAGAGGATTCAAACCAACACAATTAGCCCTCGAAGGGAGCTGTTCCAAATGACAGACAGATCATTTCTCTCTCCCTCAGAAACAGATCCCTTTGCCTAAGAGAACGCAGTAGGGAGACCAAGGAAGGAAGAAGGACCCCACGCATTACCACCAATGGAGTGAAGTTAGAAATCCCTTTCCAGTCATTCGCTGGTTTACTGATTCATCTTTCACTCTAGATTACAGTTCTGCTGGGTTTTTTGAACAATGGATAACCAACGCATTGTATATCGTGAATTTGAAATAAAGGATTTCTTTTCCCTTCCAGTTCGTGGTAGCGGTCTTCTGGATCATTTATGCCTATGACAGAGAGATGATTTACCCGAAGTTGCTTGATAATTTTATCCCAGGGTGGCTGAATCACGGAATGGTAAGTGGACTAAAACAAATAATTTCCTTTCATTAAAAAAAAAATCTATTAAAGAGCTATTTTCTAATTCGGGCTTTCCACAGAATGTACCTAACTGGCTGTGCAATGAGGGGGATTATGAGAGATTGTAATTAGAGGAGAATACCGAATGTCAATAAAAACATCTTCCCATGAAACTGAGTCACTATTAAAACTATGTAGTAGATGAATCCACAGTTTACAAGGTGTCGGTGTTGTTGGATAATACAACTAGCTCATTGTATGGATGAATTTAATTTCTGTGCCATTCAAAGACTTGTCCCCTACTGGAGCCTAAGGACCTAGTCCCACCTGTACAAACTATTGAGGCTCCATTGTTCCTCCATCTCACGTCAGGATATTGTGTTGGAAGTAACTACAGCACTGGGAGAATTGGCCCCAGAGGAGCAGCAAGACTGTTATTTTCCCTGGGAGATCTGCTGCAGGCATTGGAAGTGTCCTTGGCAGGGGGTGCCCATTGGAGGGCATTTGCCTGGGGCGCCCAGCTCTTTCCCTTCTTCTCAGTCTGATTCCTTCTGATGCTCTAGCCATGGTGTTGCCTTCCCATGTTTCAAATCAAATATTTTGGATGGTTTGCCTGTCACCTCACAAGACTTAAAGATATATTTTCTGCAGAGAAATTTTGAATTGTCTTCCCTGTCCACTTCTGGAATTGAGCACTTTTGTTATTAACTAAGAAGCCTGCATTTTTTTGGTTACAGCAATTTTTAGAATACATCACTGGGGGCTCCCCATGAAAGGGGTAACCCATCAGAGAAATTATAGGGGCACGAAGAGCTAGACCTCACACATCATATGTCCAAAATAAGTTTCCTTTCTACCCCCAATTTTGGTATATTTTGAGAAAAGTGGTGTGTACTAACAAACAAACATTACTGTACTGAGGGGCTTTGATTAATTCTTTCCTAAGCCAACACATCAAAAGTGGCACGGCTCAAACAACTGGCATTTTCTTTGAGTCCAGTTAGAGCCACGCTGTTGAAGGATTAACATGGCACCTCTGGTCTAGTTCCAAACAAATAAGCTGGGTCTTGTCAGATTCATTTTACCATCTTTGGGGCTTGATGTGGCTACTCTGTGCCTCTCCAACTTTTGACTTTTCTTGAACGTGAAAAGCCTTTGCATAACCCTGTGTCCGCAATCTTCTACCCTCAATGCCCTTCCCATTCTTTACCGGGGAACCCCTGCTCACCCTACTAGCTTCTGTAACATCTCTCAGAAGTCATGGAACACTACACCAAAAACTAATGATGTAATGTATGGTGATTAACATAACATAATAAAAAATTAATTAATTAATTAATTAATTTTTAAAAAGAAGTCTCTCTTCACCCCCACAGGCCAGGTTAGCTCTCCTGTCAGGCTCGCAAAGCACCTTCAAATCTCCGTCAGACATGTGTGTATCCCTCACACAAGTGTTACTTCCTAGGGCAAACAGCAGACTTCCAGCCCCGAGCAGTCCGCCCACCCACCTGGCATGTAGTGGGATCAATGCCTATTTGTTAGATTGATGCATGAATTCAGTATACAGTCGTCCCCCCACTCCCCGCCTTATCTGAGAGGGATCTGTTCCAAAATCCCCAGTGGATGCCTGAAACCGAGGACAGTACCATACTGTGTTTTTTCCTGTACATACATACCTATGATAAAGTTTAGCTTATAAATTAGGCCCAGTAAGAAATTAACAACAAGAGGAGGGCCTTCACTGGGAACCAGTGGTCGCATCATGCACTCTAGGAATACAGACCTTAACTGTTTGGCCTGTCGTCGACATCCCTCAAATGCACAACATTACCCTTAGGCCAGAGAATAAATCACAACCTTAGCAGATGTAGGTGCTACTTAACGTTTCAAACGAATGGTTTCTAAGTACTGATGAAGCCATTAGAACGATAACTTGACTCTTAAGAATTTCCCCTGGATTCACTTTGATAGGATATAATTCTCACTCGTGGAGACAAACACTACTTAGAAATTCAAGGAGAATTTGAGTGACACAGATATTTCGGAAAGGGAAAAGATAAATGAATCAACATGTCAAATCCTCTAAGATAATAAGAGCTCAACAGAGTCTTTCTTAATGAACTTCGTCCGTTAGTAGAGATGAATGACCATTTCTTTGGTTTTCTTCATGTTCCAGTTCGTGATTCCAGAATTACTAACAAAGAAGTTGCATATGGTGGCTGAGGAATATTTTGCAATATTAATTTGCATTACTCTAAATTTGTATATATGTGACTTTAAATAGGATGTTGATTCTTTAGATTGGCTGTTAAAATATGAACACTAACTGCTGGAATCATGAATAATATAATTTTTATAAAAATGTGAAAAATTATTTATGAAATACTAATAAATCAGATAAGCATTTTCAACTTTAAATTTTATTTGAAAGTTTAATAATTATCATTTGTATTTTAATTTTAATAAATGATTTTCAATATTTAATTTTAAAAGTATGAAAATAATTCAACTAAAGCTTTTTACATTCACTTGAATGTTCATATTTTGATGAAAACATTCAAATTGTGTATACTTTGATTATAATTACATTTTATTTTTAATTAATGCCTTAGATTAATACTATCAGTAGAGCTTAAATTTTTGGAAAATTTCCATTATAACAACATATTCAGTGAATTTGCTGAAATGAAGGTGAGAAAATAAAATTTTGGAATATTTATTTTGGAATATTTATATTTATATTATATTAAATAATATAATTTTATAATTTACAAATTTGTAATTTATAAATATATAAGCCTTTATTTTATTACTCATACAATCATATATTTTTTTATTTTGTTTTATAAAATATGTATCTAACAATGTAGGAGGATAGAACATATTTTATTTAATATTTTACTAGCTTATTTTTTAACTTTTAAGTATTTCTGCCCATGGATGGTTTATGGCCCTTTAGGCCTTTTGCTATTGCCTATCTAAATCTGTATAGCTACAAGAATTCCAAGAGAGAATGTACCCTGTTTTGTTTTTTGGGGGTTTTTTTTGACACAAAGTTTGCTTTAAATATTTTTGGGGGGAAAGGACACCACACTTCTGCTCAATTAAAAGAAACATTTTTACAGTCTTGAGGTCTTTTATTTTCTTTACATTTATCATGCCATGAATTCATAGGGAATGGGTTCCAGCAGTTCGGGCTCCTTTCCATTGGTTCTCACAAAGTATGTTTCTCTGGGTGGGGCAGGCTGGCGCTTCAGTTGAACCCGAGTACCTTTCTCTTTGGCTTCCTTCTTTTTCTGATCATTTTCCTTCACACGCTTTAGGAAACTATCTCGGCTCTTTGAGTGTTTAATATGCTCAATGAGTACATTAATTCTCTTGGCAAGAATCTTGCCCTTAACTTGTTTGTTTACAACAATGCCAACAGCATGCTGAGTAACATTGTAGACGCTTCCAGTTTTGCCATGGTAACATTTGTGGGGCATTTCTTTTTGAACAGTGCCCATTCCCTTGATGTCCACAATATCACCTTTCTTATAGATTCGCATGTATGTGGCCAAAAGAACAACTCCATGTTTTCTAAAAGGTCTAGAGAACATATAGCAGGTACCTCTCCTCTTTCCCTTTGTGTTGGTCATTTTGGCAAATTACTGGAAGATGGCGGTTCCGGCCGAAAGGCGAATGTACCCTGTTCTTATGTGTAGAATCACACTTACTGTTTGAAGAGTCTCAACATAATCTCCTGGGCTCCAGAGGCCTGATGCGGTTTATAAGTCTGTCATGGCACCATTTCAGAAGACATCACCAAGTTAGTCTTGAATTTACAGCACTCATCTGCCCAGCACAAAACAGGCATGAAAGGAAACTTACAGGATTTTAAATTCACAGGACTTTCCTTTTGATTTACTCTACCCATAAGTTGGACGTGACTGTAACTAAAGGAAACTATCCTATTTCTTCCTTTCTATTGTTTACCTCTATTCTCTCAGCAAGCAATCTTAGAGAAGAGGAAATGGGTAAATAAATGAGTTGTTAACAGTAATACAACCTTGCTATGTAACTGCTAACTTCTTTCCAGGCTCTATTAAAATAGCACTTGCACACACACACTATTTTAGTTTATTATAATTAAAAATATAAACCTATAAAATATAATATATTTTACTGGAGTCACTTTAATATCCAAAAATCAAAAACTGCTCTATCCTTTCAGCCCTATTTATTTTTTGTATTTCCAGCAATCTGAACAGCACCTGACGCCCATTAGGCATTCACTAGGTGTTGGTCATTAAAAGGGTATTTACATGTTTGTTTTTGAAACTTGGAAGAATGTTGGGGTGCCTGGGTGGCTCAGTCGGTTAAGTGTCCCACTCTTGATTTCGGCTCAGGGTCCTGAGATTAAGCCCCGTGTGCTTAAGATTCTCTTTCTCCCTCTCCCTCTGCCCCTCCCACACACATACCCCCACTTGTGCATGTTCATTTTCTCTCTAAAAAAAAAAAAACTTGAAAGAATGCCATGTTTATATTTATATCCTCTACCACCTTTCTATCCTCAGTCCACTGATAATAAGACAAGAGAAAACTAGAGATATCAGCAAAATGAATCACTTTGCAAAACATAATGCTAATGGTCATGGATAGTTGTGGTTGGGGTCCGCATGGCTGCAACCTGTGGGAGCTGAGCTTTGATTCAATTCAATCTAGCAAACATTTATTTTCAATAAGACCTATGAAATGCAAAGCACCCTGCTAGGCACTGTGGGGTTATAGGATGAGAAAAATACTTGCACTTTTAAAGGATAGAAATGGCCTGTTGGAGGTGGAGGAAGGTGAGTAGGAAAACAATTCTACAAGCCAACAGAGTGGTCTCCCGTAGGCTGTGTTCACTCTGACAACGAGAAGCACTATTGTTATTCTGGCCTGTTTCTTGGCTGCAAAAATAGATCCCTGAACCTTTCTCTTCTGCTCATTATAAGTTTAAAGCACTGTCAATGGAG